CGCCATGTCGGCGCTGTGCGACCCCCCGGGCGGCGCGAGCCCCCCCCAGACCCCCCCCCCGGGACCCCCGGGACCCCCCCCCCGGGGATGGGACGGGACCCCCCGACCCGGGGACGCCTCACACCGGGACCCCCCCTCCACCCCCCTTTGTCCCCTCTACCAGCACTCGGAGCTGCCCCAGGAGTTGAAGGACTCCCCCCCTTGAGGGGGGAGTGACATCCCAGGGAGGGCTCCGGGGGTCCCTCCACCCCTCTAACCCCCCTCTAACCCCCGTTCCTCCCCCCCCCCAGTGCCCAGGAGCTCTCGCAGGAGATCTGATCTGGGAGGGGGCAGTGTGTGACATCCCTGGGGGTCCCTCCACCCCTCTAACCCCGTTTTCTCCCCCTCCCTGGTGCCCAGGAGCTCTCGCAGGAGATCAAAGCTTCTCTGATCTGTGTGTCTGTGTGTGTGTGACATCCCTGGGGATCCCTCCACCCCTCTAACCCCGTTTTCTCCCCCTCCCCAGCGCCCAGGAGCTCTCGCAAGAGATCCAGGCTTCCCTGATCTGTGTGTCTGTGTGTGTGTGTGTGACATCCCTGGGGGTCCCTCCACCCCTCTAACCCCGTTTTCTCCCCCTCCCCAGCGCCCAGGAGCTGTCGCAGGAGATCAAGGCCTTCCTGAGCGGGCTGGACCCGGTGCAGGGCACTCCGCTGTCTCCGCCGGCGCACGCCCGCTGCGCCCTGCGGCTGCTGCGCTGCCTCCCGCCCGCCCGCCACGCCGCCCTGCACCACCTGCGCGGGCTCTTCGACGAGCAGGTCTGCGCCCACCTCCTGCAGCGGGAGGGCCCCCCGGGAGCCCCCAAGGCCGGGGCGGGCGCCGAGGTGGTGCAGGAGGTGCGGGGGGCGCTGGCCGAGTTCGTGGGCGCCAACCCCAAGGCGTGGGCGCCCGGCGTGGCCGCCTGGGCCAGCGAGCTCATGGGGCAGCTGAGCAGCAAGTACGCCGGGCGGCCCGGGGTGCCCCCGGCCGCCAACCTCAACGAGCTGCTGCAGCTGTGGATGGGCTGCCCGGCCACGCGGGCGCTCATGGACATCTACACCCAGTGCCTGTCGGCCATGGTGGGCGGCTGCCCCGACGCCTGCGTGGACGCGCTGCTGGACACGTCGGTGCAGCACTCGCCGCACTTCGACTGGGTGGTCGCCCACATCGGCTCCTCCTTCCCCGGCACCATCATCAGCCGGGTGCTCTCCTGCGGCCTCAAGGACTTCTGCGCCCACGGGGCCGCCCCCGGCGACGCGGCGTTCGCGGCGGGGCCGGCGGGGGCCGACAAGCGGGCGCCCAAGATCGCGTCGGTGGTGGGCATCCTGGGCCACCTGGCCTCGCGCCACGCGGGCTCCATCAAGCAGGAGCTGCTGCGGATGTTCCACGAGAGCCTGGGCTCGGGCAGGGAGCAGCACAAGGCCACGGTGCCCTTCCTGCTGCAGCTGGCGCTGATGTCGCCGGCGCTGCTGGGCACCGTGTCGGCCGAGCTGGTGGACTCGCTGAAGCCGCCCGTGCTCAACCAGCTGCACCAGCACTTCTCGGCGCTGCCCCGCGACGAGCTGGAGCACGTGGTGGGCGTGGTGGTGCACCTCATCTCCCAGACCTCGGCCGGCGCCTTCCGCATCCTGCAGTTCCTGGTGGGCACGGCCATGCCCGCCTCCGTCATCACCTCGTCGCAGCCGGGCCCGCCGCTGCACGACGGGGTCCGCGAGGGCTGCGACCGCCTGGTGCAGCTGCTGCTGCTCAACCTGCAGAAGCTGGTGCACGGCCGGGGCGGCCCCGC